CTCCTCCGAGGGATTCCCGATCATCCGATAGAGACGTCTTAATTTAGTTGTAGTTGTGATTTTGTGTGATGTTTGTGATTAAATTTTGAGTTGTTTTATATTTTGAATGTTGTAGTGGTGAATTTTATCTTGATTAATTTTAGTTTTTATTTTGGTTTTGGTTTTGTGGTTATCCTGATAGTTTTAGTTTTCATGTGGGGTGACATCGTTGTTTAGCATGCAAGTTTAAACTTTGTTCATACATGCATGTAAGTAAGCATAATGTGGAAAGCTTAAGAAAAGATAATGTTGTAAACTATAAAAGCGTACCTGGCGAGTCTTCTCGTTCCACCACCTGAAATTCAAAATTCATGTCAGGGCATTTTATATGAAGCAGGAAAATAAAGTTTTGGTGACCTACCTAACCTTAGATCATATCTTATTGGGTCCCTATTAGTTTGATTAAGGACGATTTTTGTTAAGCAAAACATATTAAGTTTAGTAAACCTCAGAGGTATCCAACAGGTCTGGAAAAAGAAACAGGTTCATGCTTTCCTCTCACCGCCTAGTGAAAAGTCTCGAACTCATTTAAACTTATTATGTTGCTTAATAATACATCCTATAAAAATACTCCTAATGCTCAGTGAACATTGATGTTTCAATTATCCCTAAGAGTAGGGTAATTATCATTTGTGATTTAATTTGTAAATTATATGGGTGAAGACCCTTAAAGAGGCAAGTTAGTACTATCAAAAACATTTAACCAACTTAAATTTGGGCTTATAGTGTTTTAAAGATCTTCAATTTTAATTATGTTCACTTTTTTAATCCTTATTTAACCAAATTTGTTTTAGCTTAGGTCACTACTAAGCCCTTAAGGTTTTGGTGGATGTCTTAGTTATTTTGGAAGTGATTGAATTTTAAATTTTAAATGAATTGAATTTTAAATGATGATGATTCATTTTGTAAAGTCATTTGAACATCAAATAAGGGTATTAAATTAATAAGTTATTAACACCCAAACTATACCACTAAGTCTAGGATCATTTGGTTGACTAGACTTCCAAATTTTTAATATTTTAAGGAAATTACAAATTTATCCTTTAATTAACAAAAGTGAGATTGGTTTATACCAACTAATCTCCTTGTATTTCAATCATCCAAATAAGTTATTTAAAATTAAAGTTTACTCTTTTCCCTCTTTGAATTAAGCCTAAATGTTAATTAAGGCTAAACTTCCAAAATTACACTTTTGCCCCTAAGACTCCATCACTT